AAGGCAAGGTTACATTTTTAAACTATTAGTGAATTTCTCCAGAAGAATATCAGCCATGGATGAAGCTCTCAACAACACCATTGATCCAGCTTGTTTACAAGATCCCCCGCTGGCTATTGACGTGATAAAGCGTAAGTGGCCTATATTACCATATCCTACTTGCTGATAATGTTTCCTTCTCAACTAATCTGAGCTAATGACGAAAACAACTCACTCGTGTGTGAAGCTGTGTGCCTTAGAGTCTTGAATGAGACATATCATTTAAATGTGTTCTTGTTTTATTTGCCTCTCTTCCTAAAACGTGACACAATTCTCTTTTAACCCAAGTATTGTGCTGATTATTTCACATAAATAGCATTGCGACGTATGAATACTAATGTGGTTCCCTTTCTGTTTTTAAATCAGAGCTAGATGTGTTTGATTTCTGCCTGTACCTCATGCTGACCTTCATGGCCTGCGTATCCCTGCTGCTGTACCTGGAGCAGTGCGCTTATATTTATAGAAATATGCCCTACCCCAAGAAGACCACCCTCATGTGGATAAGTGGTGCTGCACCAGTAAGCATTTATTTTATTTTATATATATATATATTGTGCTATTTCTTATACCAATAGGTGAAACAAATCATTATTAACCTCATTGAATCCTAAAGTATGCCCATTAATGAATTGCTCTTTTTTTTTAGGTCATTGCCACAATGTCTTGTTTTGGGATGTGGATCCCGAAGGCAGTCATGATCACAGATATGACCTCTAACTGGTACGTTTCACCAGCTAAATTAGAAAAGTCTTTTCTCACAGCGTAACGTTTTTTAACAGCGGAAATATGATATAGTAGGATATTTACAGAAGTCCTCTCTTAGACTCTTACTTTAAACATATAAAATGATCAGTTGTCTGTTATCGCTTCGCTCTGACCGGAAGCTAGTTCTCACTTTGTGAACTCAGATATCCTTTTTTGAAATCCACATCTTTCTTTACTATGTTTGAATCAATATATCTTTATTAAAATCAACACCTTTCTGCCTTTAAAACTGCCTGGCATACGTGCACCCCTGGTATGAATAAGCTAAAGAACATGGGAGGATGTTTTAACCACGTGTTGAATCAGTACACACACCCAGAATGCCTCATCACCAACCTGCACGTGCTCAACTTCAATAAAACCGTTTTATAGACTCTTGCCACCTTCAGTAATAGCCTGCATTTTATGTGTTTTCTGATTTACGAGATTTAAGCACAGTACGTACAGTACAGCATGTGTTTCCTATTTGAACTCACTGTCAGAAAACAAGTTCTCTTCTTTGTAATCAATTAAAACAATTGGCATATGGCTTTCTTGCTGAAACCACTCGAGTCAAATCTAACAAACTGTGAAAGAAAAGTCCAGTACCTGAAGTGTTTCCTTTTTAAGAATAACTTCTCTTCATCTGTGTAGTTATTTTGCAGTGGTGGTGTATAAGGTCTTGGTTCTGATGATCGAGGAGTTGGGCGGCACCAATCATTTTCTGCAGAGATTTTCCACGGAGACCTTTCGGGTCAACACAGGCCCGTGCTGCTGCTGCTGCGCCTGTCTACCCCGCGTGCACATGTCACGGTATTTATACCCGCCTACACAAATACTACCATTCTGCCTTTAGCAATTGAAGCCTATGGTCTTTTAATGTTTATATAGAGATTTTTAGGCAATTTAATCATGCTCTTATTTATATCCATTCATTCTCTCTATTGACTACACATTGTGAACATTTCTAATGAGTATATTTCTTTGCATGGGATCATTCAGGCGATTGTTATTCTTCCTGAAGTTGGGAGCTCTTCAGTATGCAATCCTAAAGACGGTGCTCTCCATCCTCTCCATAGTCTTGTGGACAAACGGCAACTTTGATCTCTCTGATGTAAGGGTTTGATAAGTGTCACATCTCACTGCGCTGGATGTTAAGTGAACTTGACATGAACAAAGCATTTGTTTTGCTTCTTTTTCAGTTAGAGATTACTGGTACAGCCATTTGGATTAACCCGTTCATTGGCATTCTCACTATCATCTCCCTTTGGCCTGTTGCCATCATCTTCATGAACGTTAACAGCCATCTACGCAGCATCAACTTGGTACCCAAGTATGCCATCTACCAGGTGAGTCAATACAACCAACATTTAAAGTACACTATTCTCAATTTTCTTTCTAGCAAAAGCCTTGGTGAAAAACAGTATATGCATCCTTATCAGGAAAGCAAACAGAAAGTGAAACATCTAGGGTGTAATCTCTCTGTTGCAAATCTCTAGCCAGATGGTTGAGATTAGACTCAAGATGATAGGTTCTGACTTGAAGGTAACCCTTGGTTGATAACCCGCCTTTTTTACAAGACAAGGCAAGTGTATTTATATAGCACCTTTCAACAAGGCAATTCAAAGTGCCTTACAAAAAATAGACATTAAGAAAATGGCATTTAAAATCAGTCATTAAAAACTGTTACACTACAACACTCAGGTTCAGTAGTCTTACCTTTCACAATAAAATTCCTACTCATATTATATTTGCTGTGAGTATTTCCCTTTTCCCTGTGGTTTCTTCAGCAGCTCCCGGTGGGTAAAGGCCTTTAAGGTTAGGATTGGCCTCGGATGGTAAGGTTAGGAGGATACACCATGGCGCATCTCGTGAGAGGTTTCACAGTTTTGCAAATCGGGGGTAACCATCAATACAAGTCTGTGTTAGACCGACAGATCATCAAAGCTTAAATGTCAGGAGTCTCAGTTTATAAAAACGAAAGCAGTACAAATGAGTGTCGCACAGAGTTTTCACACCTTGGCTTTAGTTGCGTTTGTTTTGGATACAAATAATACAAAACTTTGGTTTGAAAACTAGATATTGACATGTGATGCACTGCATAGAGTATGTAACCAATCAAGTCTTGGTTTTCTCATCAGCTCATACTCGTACTGAGTCAGCTGCAGACATCAATCATTAACATCCTGGCATTGGATGGCACCATCGCCTGCGCCCCTCCCTTCTCTTCTCAAGCTCGTGGCTCCAGTAAGAAACCTCTCTGAAACTCAGCTGCTCATGTGTGAAGTAAAATAATCCATCTGACACCCTGTTTATGTCTCTTTCCCTCTCTGTTGTGCAGTGCTAAGTCAGCAGATGATGATCATGGAGATGTTCATCCTCACTCTGATCAATCAGAGACTGTACCGTCGTACGTATGACGCACTTCCCTCAGAGGAGGCACATGACAACAACCACAACGCTAAAGTCGCCCTGCAGACTGCCCTCGTGGAGCATGATGTCTAAAAAAGGAGACAGTGATGTAAGAGTGGAAGTCAACACTGCTCTTAATGATGTGTCAGATCCTCTAAATTAAGAGATAATCAAATATCCCAAACTTTAGTGTTATATAATATTATTTGGATATAACTTGTTTACCTCATTCCATGATAGAAAAAAAACCATTAACTGTTGAAAGTTTAGTTTTTTCAATATTTTATGTATGTATAGTAAACAACGTGGACAAAAGGTTGGAGATGTAGGTTTATAAATATTTGTGTACGGGAGAACATCATTTTTACATTTGTCTAGTAAAACTTAGTGTGTGAGAAACATAAAGAGAGACAATCCAATAATGGTGACTTTGGTCAATGTGTGGATGATGAAATGAGTCCTAAAATGATATCTGATGCTTTGTGTTTTCAATATAGAAAATAAAGATGGATATGTTTTTGTGATGAAAGGGCCCAGGTTGAATGTATTGTACTGCGGATATATTTGATACAAAGGATCTATTTTCTCTTCTGTTCCCTGTGTATAGAGTAAAATGTTTTTGTCTTCACGCAATCTGGGAAAAACAGCCAGATTCCTTCAAAGATTGCTGACCCACTTACTCGAGACACAGACGGATGAGACAGCAGCTTTATTTTCAGACTCAGTGTACACCCAACATCCGTCTACAGCCAAACTGTGTTGTTTCATAAGCAACCACAAGAGGCCATGCTCATCCAACCAAAAAAGTTGACTCACATGATTAATATTTATTATTTCTTTCAGTTCAGCCAGAACTAACAGGTTTAGTCAGTTACTTATTTTAGGAGGAATAATTCAAGTCATTAACGAATGTTTGTACCAAGCCCAACATCCAATAAAAGCATCAAACAAACCGGATACCCTACGTCTTTTTAGGTAATATGCTTAATTACAACTTACTCCTTAAGTCATCTGTGTTCTTTGTTGCCTTCTTGCAAATCTTCCCAAACATTTGTATCACATCAATCAACTAAAAATGTGTAGGAAATAATTACTTGAGCAGGTTTTTCATAAATCTCTTTTGAACTTTTACCAAATGCCTGTTCAAAAACACATTTAGACATAATATTATTGGCAAAACTAAACAATAAGAAAAAGATAACTATAATATACAATTTAGTTAAATCAAATGTTATTTCCCTGAATCGTGTCATTCACTTACATTTCATTAATAACTCTCAAATGTGTGATTGTCTTCAGGACCGCAGTTTACTCTGTTAAGGTTGTCAAAAGGTCACCCCAGCCCCCACACAAGATTGATCACTTTTAATGATTGAATTCATTTGATTAATCAGTATTTTGTACAACCAAAGCAACAGTATCCCTTCATTGGATGCATTGCATTGTGTTATATTTGTTATCTAATAGGTTTTAAACCATGCTTTTCGAAAGTCATATGCAGCATAAGGGATAGATTCAAAGAGGAACATATTTAAAGTTGAATAATTTCCCAAATTTAAATCGGATTAATGGTTGCCCTTATTATAAATATTTGTTATTAGAATATTATACTGCATTGCTTTTTATAAATGTATAATTTTCTAAAATGCTCTAAATTCTTCAACCATCTTGAGTGACTTACTGTACTGCTGCTACACACCAGAAATGAATCAGACCAGTTTTCAAAATAAAAGCAGAACTGTTCCAATAAAAGATGAATAGACTGCATTTGAATTGTGCATTGCCTTAATCTGAATGAGATGTTCACATAAAGCCAGATCATTTCTAATTCAAAATGTGGCCCTATTAATGGAGCATTTGTCTTTGGTGTTATGTAAACAGAGTCATCAGACAGAGAGGAAGGAGAAGGTGGGTTGATGACAGCCCCTGGCCCTGCATTGCTGACGAAAGCTGCTTAGCTCCTCAGTTGCCATGGCAACAAGGGAGAGCAGCCAGACAAAAACGAGGCAAAGGGGAGGGGCTTTCAAGGGAGGAATAGAGGAGAAAGGGCTGGATGGGAGAGATAGGCAGAGGGAGGGATACAGACAACCGATATAGAAAAACACTGAGAGCAACGGAGGTAAAGCAAGCCTACAGAAGAAGAAAGATATAACGTCTGGACATCAATGCTCTCTCCACTGGCTGGGGAATAATAACTGCAGGAAGTGACTATAGGATATGGAGAACGGGGGAAACAGAGAGAAGATGGATGTACAAATGGAGAACATGGACCCCCCGCCTTGTGAATCCCAGGCGAGTGGAAAAATCAGAAAAGGATTCAAGCTGTTTGGTAAACGCAAGCCAGGGAACATCTTTTCTATTCGAAGCAAAGGGGATGGAAACAACAAGTCACCTGTTAACACGAGCAAAACCATAGATGGAGTATCGGAGAACGATGCACCAGATTCAGAGCAGGAGCTGGACAAGGAAAGGGGACAGGAGCTGAGTCAAGGAGAGAGGGAGCCGTCAGAGGCGGAGCAGCTTGGAGAATATGGGGTTATGGCTGCTGCTCCAATTCGCGCCTCCATTTCTTCAACCAGTTCAGCCAAGTCCCTCAGCTTCCTGTCGTTGCTGAGGGGCGGCCGGAGAGGAGTAGGGGACCGTCGAGTCCAAACTATGTCCCAGCCTGTGGGCAGGCAACGGCGAGGCCTGAAGGGTCTCTTTAACAATGTTACGTTCAGGTCAAAAGATAAAGAGGAGAAGGAGGAAGCCCCTCCGAGCCCACTTCTCATGTTGTCCCGCGCCAGCAGTGTGGAAATCATCAAAGAGGATATGACCCTCACCCCACAATGCAAGCCGCGCTTTCTGGAGAGCCAAAAGACTGAGAGCTGGGAGGCGAGCAAGAGTTTAACAACACAGGACAGTGCAGACACGTCCCCATCAGAGACCACAAGTCCTCAGGCAACAGCGGGAAATGTGAGTAGAACTAACGAGCATGTGCCAACTTTACCCACTTCTGACCCACCCTTGATACCCGGTGATAACAGCCTCAGCTGCCTGCTTGCAGACATCTCCTCTCTCCTGACCTTTGACTCAATATCAGGGGGTGGAGACATGATGGCTGATGTGGAGGCAGAGTGGGGAAGAGCCAGCAGTCCCATCACTGCCGCTTGGACTGAACTCACGCCATCGTCCACATCTATCTTCTCCAAACCCACCATGTCACGACCACTGACCTCCGTTAGCACTGCTGCTACGGCAAAACCCTCTCCCGTAGCCGTCCCCACAACAGCCTCCACCCAATCCTTCACCCAATCCTCCACCCAATCCTTCACCCCTGGGACGAAGACAGCTACGAGAGCTACGACCTCTTCTCCCGTTTCCAGGCCGAGCTCAATCATCACGACGTTGACCAAAGCTTCCACTTTGACAACTAACTCAGTCACATTAAACTCTGACTCTACTCCAGCCTCTGCCACTTATGCTAGCATTAAAATTACATCAACTCCAATCGCAACAAAATCCTCAACTCCCCCTGTAACATTGACAAGCTTTTCGGCTCCTAAAATATATCAACCTTCAGCGGCAATTAAATCCACATTGAGCTCTTATTCTACAACAGCTCCTCCGAACACCCCGGCTGCCGTAGCCAAGGCTCCCTCAATCGGCCCAAATCTTACTTTCAAGGCGAGCAAATTCGCATCAGAGATTACACCTCCTCCTCAAACTATTATTTCAGTAAGTACACCTTTGACTATAGCTACTCCAACCCCTGCATCAGCTAAAGCTCCCCCAGTAACCCATAGCCCTCCCACCCCTGTTGTTTTTGCCCAACCTCCACCTGCTAAATTGGATACAGTTAGTAGTTTGAACCTGAAAACTTTCACTTCCTACAAACCTTCCCTCAGTTCAGCTGCAGGAGAACCTAAAGCCCCAGTGATAATCTCATCAGCTTGTGCTGTTACTCCCAAACCCAAACTGGTTATGCCCCCCAAGGTGACAACGGTTCCCACATCAACTACGACCCCCGGCTTGGTATCTGCACCCACTTCCAAGCCTACTCTCAACTGTAGCCCACTGGATTTAAATAAGGCCCCTCCTTCCCTTGCAAAAGTTCCAGATATCCTTCCTTCCTCTAACTTGACTGCTGCTACTAAAACCCAACCCAGCCCTGTGTCTGTCCCAACTCCATCATCAACTTATTTAGATAAGATTCCTCCCCTGACTAAACCCCCTTATGCACCAGTCTCTTTAGATAAGATGGCCCCTGCTCCAACACCAGCCCCTGCTCCTCATGCTGTTTTTACAGCCTCTCCAGCACCTCCTCCTCCAGTTCAGATCTCAGTCCCTCAACCTAAAGCCCCACCTGCTCCTGCTCAAATCCCAATTTCCGCACCTAAAGATTCACCTACTCCTACGCCAATGCAAGTTTCTCAATCTAAATACCCTCCTGCTCCTGCTGAAACCCCACTTTCTGTATCAAAACCCCCTCCTGCCCCTGTACGAATCTCAGTTTCAGGATCAAAACCCCCTCCTGCCCCTGTACGATTCTCAGTTTCAGTATCAAAACCCCCTCCTGCCCCTGCTCGGATCCCAGTTGATGTATCTACTGAACCTTCTGCCCCTGTAAAAATCCCAGTTTCAGTATCAAAACCCCATTCTGCTCAGATCCCAGTTTCTCAACCCAAACCCCCTCCTGCACCAACCCCTGCCCATAGCCCTGTCACTTCTCCTTCTTTGACCCCTGGTGAGGCCCCAGCTTCTGCTAAGATGCGAGCAAGTGGACGGGCATCAGTCGATGGTGGACTGACTAGTCCAAGTAGCACAGGTCCTCAGACCATGCTGTCAAAAACAGAAGAACTCCAGGGCCAGCCCAGGGAAAGGAGGACACCTCAACCAAAGGCATCAGGACTGAGTAAAATCCCTGTTGTTGGAGGGGGCAGAGCAGGCAGGATACCTGTCCGGGACAGTCAACACGATGATGAGGAAGCAAGTAGGGACCCACCTACTCCTGTTCTCGAAAAAGAGAGGCCTCATTTTAACTCACATGATGCCGGGATCAAAGATAAGATCTGTAATGTTGAGGCTAATGTGCCCACCTCAAAAAACACCCAGGAGGAGAGTCAGCAGCTTCCCCAACCGAAGGTCCTCACCAGTTTACCGCGTGAGTCAAAGATCCCCGTGAAACATGGTGCTCCGCCTCACGCTGCCTCACAAATCCCTCAGGCAAAAGAACCCTATCGTACCAAGATACCCGTGTCCAAGGTTCCTGTCCGCAGGGCCGGTAATAAACCTGCAGCTGCATGTGGAAGCACCCAGATAAGAAAATAAAACAATGGACTGCATCAATCAACGATACAGATTATGGCTTTGACTGCGACTTTTCTCCTCTATAAAACTACACAACCCAACTTTTTTTCAGTTTTCTAGACTCCGATTCTTGGCTTCACTGCGATAGTACCAGAGTCAAGAGGCTGACAGCACTCAAGCACAAAATATCTCCACAAGGAGCCGAAGCAACAATCCTGGCTCTTTTGTGCTGAGCCAACTGGACACGCTCTCAGGAAAGGTTCAGGGTCACACCTGGACACACAGCAGCATCGTTGACTAAGGATAAGCAAGATGAAAAGGACTTCTGGGAACATAGACACACACACACACAACATGGGCGAGTGCCTTTTTATAAGGGTGCTTTTCCGACTCAGAATTAATATTTTCTACAATGCTTTTAACTTTTGTTACTCCCACTTTTTGTAGAAACCGTCAACTCTTTGTCTTTCTTTCCAGCAAATCTCTTTGATAATAACCAGTCCCTTTATTTTTTATTTATGTCAGAAGAAGAACAGCAAGAGCTCTATAAAGTAATGCAACGACCAAATTTACATTCCACACCAATCTCTGGATGTATGTAGCATAAAAACGTGCCATTAATCTTTGCACATGATGTTGAAATGTACATGTGTCGACTGCTCATATGTAACATGATCAGATCTCACTGTGAACTATGGGACGGACTGGTTTTGAGGGAGAATTGGAACTAACCTGCCTCCCAGTGAAGTGGACAGTGGACAGCAGCTATTATGAATGGCACTGTGGACGTTTTGAGTGAAACAGAGAGGATGCTGAGATGAGATCTCACTGGCACTGGTCCTTATCCCACTTATACTCGGATGAGATCAATATCTCTGTCTATAGTCTCATCTATGTTGTTCTGTTTCCTATTTAATCAATAAAACAATATGAATATACTTCGCAAGATGAGATCTGTTTAAGGTGTGGATTTTATCCGGCATGTTTAATATTGTGTACGTTTGCAGAAATGTGATACATATAGTAAATGATTTATCAGCTGTGTTTTAAGAAGGATTAGAAATGTTGTGATCCTTATATGTGGAAGGAAGTGAAGCAGAGTAGGATCATAGTAAAGAGATCTGATACACATTTGACATTTTCACAGATGGCTCACCATCTTACTACAGCCTGGGCTCATAGAAACATCATTACAACATCATCCACACTGAAAGCTCACTGACCTGAGAAGCTAGCACATGAATGTCAGTAGAGCCCGGCCAATCAGCTGCAAGGGAAACCACTTAACATGCATACCTGATTATCAGGAAAAGGGTTCGGGAATGTGTGTCATTGCTATTCTTAGCGCGAAATGCACCCAATGAATGTGCTGCATAATGCCTGAGTGGATAATTTGATTTGGTCATTTAGTACCAGTCAGTTAGTCATTGAATTGTAGAAGAAAAGCTGATGGTTATTTGAACAGAAAAGGATGTCAAAAAAAAAAGGGCCTTCTTTAATGTTGCACAAGAAATGTAGGAAAAACATGTTGAAAAGCAAAAGTGCTACTATTGGTGAGAGTAAAACCTCAGGTTAAAGATGGGAAGTTGATTTGAGTCATGGGGTAATGTTTAGAGGCGTCTGGTGTTAGGAATAAGGCGTAAGGGTGCATTTCTTACAAAAGAAATGTGAAGGTGACACAAAAAGACCTCAGTGTACTTCAGCAAGCCAGAGGCTGCAAGCTGAGAAGGGAGGACCATCCTGTGGCCTAGACAAACACGAGGATTTCACCACATCAAGTGCTGATACTGTCACAGATGGTAAACCTTCTCCTGAGAAAAGAACAGTTTCCCCCTGAGGCTCTGACACTACACAGGTTTGCCTTTTTTGTAACTGCGATTAGGAATTAAAAAAAGGGTTTTAACAGCATGTAGATTTACAATCAGGCTTGTTATGAGGGCTCACATTGTGACACAGTGTGATAATTAACAGCATGCTCTCCATTACAGAAAAACTGCCTATGAATATGTTTTGTGAAGAAATCTGAAACAAGCCGTGAATGCTGCCTTTTGTCCACCTCTATTCACATGATTTCCCAGTATTACTCTTTCATGCTTATAAGTGATAGTGACAACAGCCTTGAGGTAGATTCATCCAGGGACCATGTTGGAATAATCTTTTAAACAATATTGCATAAGCTTTGTCTGTATATAGGTTGTTTGTGTATAATGCCCCCATTGTCCTAAATATGTAACACAAACACCCATAATGCACTGAGGCCACTATGTCTGCATGTGTTTGTGTCTTCCGCCTCTGGAGAGACGATGTGCCTCTTTAGAACCTAATTTAGCATGCTTCATTCTGCGTTTCCATGGCAACCCCACTAGGTCAGCCAATGAAAGGCTGCGGGTGTCAAGAGGAGGAGTTTAAAACACGAGTGCCTTAATGAGCACACTCACAGTATGCTAATAAAACCCGTTTTACACCATATACAATTTTTATTATAATACTGAATTATAACAATTAAGATGTTAATAGTTCACTGTAATGTTTACTTATTGTAAGTCGCTTTGGATAAAAGCGTCAGCTAAATGCAATGTAATGTAATGTAATGTAATGTTGACACATTTTACTATGATTATTAATTAACTTCCAAACGTTGCTGGTTGTGCATTGACATGAGCTGAACCAGACACACAGTGAACTTTTTTTGTGCTAAAAGGATGCTAAAGATAACACTCATAGAACATTTCATTTTGTAAGTTTCTAAGACATTTTAGAAATGATTCAGATATACTGGAAGGTAAGGAATTAGCTGAAAGTGTCATGGTGATATTGCCTGTTATCGCGGCTATTATTAAACAAATGAAAGGTTTAAGGATCTGGTTGAGCTTCACTACAGGGGCATTGTTCAGATCTATACAATAAGGCCATAGATTACATTGATGATACACTACTTAACAGCATGAAAATAGTAACATGGGACTCAATATCCATTGGATAACACATCGTCTTACAATGTTGAGATTTAAAAAGCTTATTTTCCATAGTCCAAAATACAAATAAACTTTAGCAAAGCAAGAGCCAATTTATCCCCCACTGTTAAACATGTTTGAAAACAATATCAAACCTTGTAATGTCCATATTCATATCATTGCACAAATATGGTTAATAATCAAAATTATTTATTCTTGTTCATATTGAAAAACGGTACCATATGGCTTGACAAAAATTACCATTGTTTATATAAAATTATCAAATAGTATATTTATTAAAAACATATATAAATGCAATAAACTGTCTCGTTTCAGGATCATACATTGGACGAGAGATAGCAGATGAGATAACATTACAGATACTACTCTTCACTGAGAAGAGTTCAGAAAAGGCAACAACACATCTGCTTCATCGTCAGCTCGGCAGCCTCATCTGCACTATGCAGTCTGAACACCAACAGCGTGTCACGTGCTATTAAAAGCTCTCTCTCATTATCAAATGAAGTCAGTCCGTTTCAAATTGTCAAAGAACAGAGATCAAACATATGGCTTTTTATAAAACACTAAAAACAACATTTTTGAAAGAGTTATTAAAACATTAATGTGTGTTCAAGATCCTGAACATGATGATTTCTAATTCGCTTACAAAAAGCAAATATTAAGCTGGATATGCATGTGCTCATAGACGCACATATTTGATAAGCATTCAGGAATATGGATGATTATGAAGTATGGCCCTGCCAGCCAGGGCATTACGTCATTTAAGTGCAATAATAACTCTGCACTGAGGACCTCTGCTGGTGAAAATACTGAATTATATTCTTGAGAATAACATGGGTGACGCAGTACAAACAGCATCCCTGCTGAACAACATGGCTTCATCATATCAGGCCTGCAGCCTCTACTATAGATAGAGGGAGCTAGCTGCACCATGATAGGCATGAACACAGAACCAATGTGATCTAAGCAGATATCTACTGTTATAAGTAGACTATTTTCCAAAATGTAATAATAATTCATTACAAAAGTGCCTGTAATTTTCACTCATTCATTAGTATGCAAATATGAGTCGTAAAACCAAATTAGGACTCATTGGAAAGAAAGTGAAGCAAAGAGACATGTAAGGAATACTGACGGTGGACATTCAGCCCTACTTTAAATAAGCAGTCAAGACCATCTTATGCTTGGCGTCTGGCAGCAGCAATACCATGCTTGAGTTAGAAATATGAAATAATACTCACACTAATTACATTGAATATTATGAAAAATATAGTAATATTAAATCTGAGTTGAAATAAAAATGTGCATTTTTGCAAACTCTGATACAGATAGAAAAGGTTGTGAAGAGCCTGGCGTCCAACCAGAAGGAGAAAGGAATGAAGAAAAAGAAGGCAAAGAAACAAAAAGGTACAATTTAAACTCTACTTTTAACATGCCAGGCACTTAGTTTGGGAAATACTAGATTATTGGAAGCTGTTCGCAGACAGGCATCTGTTATTGACAACAGCATTGGTATGTACCGCAGTTAGGAAGTGGAGAAGAAGTTGTGTTTAGATGCTTCCCTGATCAAGTGTGGACTGAAATAGAGCAAAAATAACAAAGAGAGCATGAGACAAGCAGAGATTTTGAGGAATGATAAAGTTGGAAAATGTTATTAGTAAAATGGTGCAAGATTTAGTGACGCTTTGGCCTCATGCTACATCAAACAACAACACAAATGTCTAAATAGCTTAATTATGAAACCTGTATATCATTTATAAAGCATAGGCTGTAGGTTACAATGAATACAAGTGTAAACAGAAGTTGTTGTTTTTTTGACCTGATGAACATCAATCTCACCCGCTTTTGCCAGTATGCTGACACACTGTTTACAGAGGAAATGTAGTGCCGTGAACATTTGTTGTGATCTGTCACACCATGAAATGCATGTGTCCTTCAGCACCGTAACCATGACATCCATCCAGATACGCATGGCCTCAGGTGAAGGGGCCACCATATAGTACACCGATCATGGGTCTTCAGACAGAACGTCAGCGAAGGGTTGGGGCTCTTGGGTGTGGAAGTGAGTGTAATGTTGAGAAAAAAGTGAAGGAAGAATAGGAGGGTAGAGGGGTGAGGTGACGCATGTGTGGGAAAAAAACAAATGGAGGAGAGAAGCAGAGGATAAACAGATGTCAACATTGTTGAAATAAAATGAGGCATGTGTAGAATA